TGACAGAGAGAGACACAGTGAGAGAGGGAACACAAGCAGGGGGAGTGGGAGAGGAAGAAGCAGGCTTCCCGCTGAGCAGGGAGCCCGATGCGGGGATCGATCCCAGGAACCTGAGACCGTGACCTGAGCCGAAGGCGGACGCTCAACGACTGAGCCACCCAGGCGCCCCATAAGTTACCTTTTTAATATCTGTCTATTCCATTGCGCTATAAGCACCATGATGTCAAAAATACCTCTCCTGACAAAGACTCTCTCCTTGCTCAAACCCTAGCCAGGCTCCTCTGAGCCTTCTTCTCAACTAGACCTCAACCTTGGCCTATAACGAGGACAGAGTCTGAACACAGATGATTTTATACATCTACCTCCCTTTACATTGAAGACTTAAATGCTGACAGTTTTTAACAGCTCAAGGCTGCCCTGGTAGGATCACCCCAGCCCCCCTTAAATATCTGCTGGAGGAAGCTCACGGCTATCCAAAGAATTAACCGTTTATTGTAGTTAACACCTAACCGTCCACCCCTAACCACCCTCTCTTAGAGAGTTTACTAAGAAGGGCTTCCAATTATAAATCCTTTCTCTGTCCCTTTGAGATGTATGTGTATCTCCTACAAATCAAGAGTGTCTTTCCCAAGGACGGAAAGCCCTTCCTTTACAATGTAATCATCAGGAAGGACAGGGCCTCTGCCTCCCAAGCCTCTGTGAGGATAGAATCCTCACTCTGATACTTGCCAGCCGCAGACACAGTTAGCATTTTCAGCATTTACGCTGATCACTCCTTTGTAATTTTGCACTTCCCTGACTCTATTTAAAATGCCCAGTCATTCTGTGCAAATCAAAGTTGAATCCATTCATGCTGGACCCTCTTCCCTATTGCAACAGTACGTTACTGATTAAGATCTGTCCTTACCACTTTAACTGGTGTCTGGTTTTGTTTCTCTTTGACACTTGCTCATTATAGCATGCCTAGACCCTAGCATGGTGCCTGGCACATAGTAGATGCTCAATATATACTTCCTGAATTAAAAGACTGTCGACTGAAATCATCCATTTGTTCTAGTTATTTATTGCTGAGTAACGGACCATCCCAAAACTTCATGGTATGAAATGCCAACTACCTTACCATACTCATGGATTCTGTGGGTCAAGAATTTGAAAAGGTCATCTCTTTTCTCCACTCCATGACATTTGGGGCCACAGATGAGGTGACCTGGATGGCTGGGGTGACTTGAATGGCTAGGGTGGAGCTACTTCCAAGATGGCTTCTTCACTTACCTGTCTGATGCCTGGGCTGGCTGGGCCGGCAGAGGTTTGGGCGCAGCTTGCACTGTGGACAAGATATCCTACCTGGGATTTCGCCAGCATGACGATACCAAGATAGTCGGATTTCTTCCCTGGCAGCTCAAGGCTCCAAGAACAGGGATCCTGTAAACAAGATGGAAGCTTCGTGGCTTCTTATTCCTAGCCAGTGAAGTCACAGAGCTTCCCTTCTACCATCATCTAATGGTTGAAGCAGTTACAGGTCTGCCCCTATTCAAGGCAAGGGAGTATCCAATAATTTGCAGCCTTGTTTTAAAACCACCACACTATCAGAGCCAGATTTGGGGAGAATTCTTGTGCAATTTATCCTGCGTATCACTTAGGATTAGATTTGGCTGCATAGGACAGAAAACCCATAGGAACAGTGGTGCAAACAAGACAGAAGCTTATTTCTCCCTCACATAAGCAAAGCCTGGATGGAGCCCATCAGGACTGGTTCAGTGTCTAGAGTGTACGGACCTGGGTCCTGCTGCCTTGTTGTGTCCCCAGCCTCAGTGCACACCTTTTACCTCATGACCCGAGGTGGTTGCTTGAGCTCTAGTCTTCATATGCACAGTCCGAAGGGTAAGGAAGTTTCCTTTAAGGACATTCCCCAGAAGCGCTGTCTGACAACCCCACTTACAGCCCGTTGGCTGCACACTCAGTCACATGGCCATGGCTAGCCGCAAAGGAGGCTGGGGATTCTAGTCTTTAGAATGTCTGATCTTTAGACCATGGGCCCAGAGGAACAAACAAGCAAAAACTCAGGGTTCTACTCTTAAGGAAGGAGAGGAAAATGGATGTTGGCAGACATCCACTGGTGTCAGCCACACCTTTTTACTCCATTTTATTTCCTGTTCTGCCACTGACCTGCTGTGGGCTTGGACAAAATACTTTCTTTGGTTGTTGTTACCAGTTTCTCTGGTCATTAGGGAGGAGGGTGCTATGATCTAAGAAGGAAGCTCAAAGTATGAAGCAGATAAAAGTGTCAATGCTCTGATTTTAGGGAAGGGAACTGGGGCCCCACCCAGCCAGCCTCTCTTTACTTTCCTGGGGGTCTCTGGGGTTTCTGGGAGCAGATTTTTGAAAACTCCCATATTGGGTTACTGCTGAGGGCTTTCTAGCAACAAGACCTCAAGAATTCATGTTCATTACATTTTGGGAGTAACTCCTCCCTGCACTTAACCAGGTTGTGCCTTCCATCAGATACCTCCCCAGCGAGTTCAGACAGATGCCACCAGAAGGCAGCGGGAGACACAAAGCCAGCTATTAATTGACTACTTTCTGTGTGTCTGACACTATACTAAGGTCTGCGATCATGAAGTCACCACAGCTCATACTCTAAGTCCCTTACTTTTTTTTTTTTTTTTTTTTTGTTACAAGGCTAGGGTAAATTAAGCACGATCCAATGTACCAAGGATTTTAACAAAGTATGATGGTGTTATGGAGTGAATTGAGCCCCTGCAACAAGATATGTTGAAGTCCTAATCCTTGGTACCTATGAATGTGAATTTCCTTATTTGGAAATAGGGTCTTCACAGACATAATCAAGTTAAGATGAGGTCATTAGAGTGGGCCCAAATCCAATTTGACTGGTGTCCTTAGAAGAAGAGTAGAAGAGACACAGACAGGCACAGACGCACATCAGAAGAATGACAATGGGGGCAGAGATTGGAGTGACGCGTGCATAAACCAAGCAATGGCAGGATTTCAAGCAACACCAGAAACTAAGAGAAAAGTATGGAATGGATCCCCCACCTAGAGCCTTCTGAGAAAGCATAGCCTTGCTGATAGGACTAATTGATTTTGGATTTCTAGCCTCCAGAACTGAGAGGGAATACATTTCTATTGTTTTCAGCCACCCAGATTGTAGTACTCTCTTATGGCAGCCCTAGGAAACGAATAGAGATGGTCAGTTTGATGTGTCAGCTTATCTAGGTTTTAATCCCTAGTGTATTCAATCAAACACTTAGATGTTGCCATGAAGATATTTTGTAGATATAACGTCTATAATCAGTTGACTTTAACTAATGGGGATTTAGCTAGGTGGGCCTGATTTAATCAGTTGAAAGTCTTTAAGAGCAGAACTGAGGTTGCCTTAAAAAAGAAGAAATTCTGCCTGTGAACTGTAGCTTCAGCTCACGCCAGAGAGTTTCAGCCTTCCCTTCCTGATGGCCTGCCCTAAAGATTTTGGATTCGCTTAACCAGCCCCTGCAATTGTGTAGATCAATTCCTTGCCATAAATCTCTTAATATATCTCCTGGTTCTTTTTATCTGGTGGAACCCTAACTAATACACAAAAGGATGATGCAGTCTTGAAATGCATTTGCCTAAAAGGCTGTGGAGTTGTCTAAGGCTTCACAGAAGAGGTGGCTTTTGGCAGGGCCTTGAAGGGTAGAGAGGGGTTTGCCAGGTGGGGCAGGGCCTTTCAAGCAGGGAGAACACCATATGCAAAGGTTTGGAATGGTGAGACCCCGCTCCCCTCCGCCCCAGTGCTGTGGGGGTAGGCCTTGGAGTCACATTCTGAGGACCTCTTCCTGTCAAGTTGAGGACTTGAGCGTTGGTGCTGGAGGCCAGGGCTTCTCCTTTTTTTTTTTTTTTAATTTCTCTTAGTTCTGTCTTTTTATTTATTTTTTATGTTTTGAATTGAGATATAACTTTCATAAGTCAAGTGCATATTTTTAAAAGAAGAACATGATGATTTTTTACTTATGAATCCATGTAATCCCCACTGAGATCAAACATGGAATCAAGGCTGGGATAAGGGTGAGTGAGGTCAGTGACTTGAGCTGTGCAAGCACAGTGTCAGATTCTGCCTTTATTTAAAATTTTGGTGTTTTGTTCAGGGATTTTTCGCTCTCATTTTGATTTTTAAAAGTATTGTTTATTTTTGGTCACTGATTTTGTTTTGTTTTGCCCATCCTATAATTTTCTGCCTTGGAGACAGCCTCATGCCTCACTTTAGTCTTGACCCTGTTAAATATTTCCAGCACCCCCACTGGCTCCTTCATTTCTTCAGTCCCCTCAAAGGAAACCTCTAGCCAAGGTCAGGGGAATGGATGGCCTGGGTGTGTGCGATCATATTACCGGTGCCTATGCATGTATTTCTCGCGGGGGGGGAGGGGTAGTCATTCCTTTGATCAGTTTATTGGACGCCTTTGTAAAGTGAGGACTAAAAAATGCAGAGATTGACTAACAGGGAGCCAGAGGAAGGTTTGTTATTCAAGGGATCTAAACAGTATTACGTCTGTGGTAGGCCTGCAGGCCTCAGTGACACAGTCTGGTGTGTATTAGCCTCACTGTGCCTCAGTCCCCGCATCTGTAAAATGGAGTTGATAATCCTACTACCCCTGTTAATGGACTGCTTAAGGGTCCTATGAGATAGGGGAGTAAAATTCATAGCACCCTACAGGGCGCACTCAGCCAGTATTCACTGAGCGCTTACAATATGCCAGGCGCTGAGCTGAGGGTTTTACGGCCGTCACTTTGTTCATAATGCACACAGCCCAACGAGGAAGGTGCGAGTTCCAGCAAGCCCGCGGGAAGGGACCGGGGAAGACCAGCCACGCTCCGCGGCGTGGGGGCCGCGCTCCTGCGGGCGGGGTGGGCGGGAAGGGGGCGGGGCGC